ATATATTATATATATTATATTTATTATATATATATATATATATATATATAATATATATATTATATTATATATATATATTATATATATATATATATATATATATATATATTATATATATATATATATATATATATATATATATATATATATATATATATAGTGTGTGTGTGTGTGTGTGTGTGTGTGTGTGTGTGTGTGTGTGTGTGTTGTGTGTATAATACAATATATATATATATATATGTATATATATATGTATATATATATATATATATATATATATATATATATATGTATATACATGTATACATGTATACACACACACACACACACATACACACACACACATACACACACACACACACACACCACACACACACACACACTCACTCCACACTCACTCACACACACTCACACTCACACACACACACACACCACACACACACACACACACACACACACACACACACACACACACACACACACACTCACACACTCACACACTCACACTCACTCACTCACTCACTCACTCACTCACTCACTCACTCACTCACACACTCACACACACACACACACACACACACACACACACACACACACACACACACACACACACACACACACACACACAAATCAATAAATCTCAAGATTATATTGTTTACCTATAGTCATGAACCACACATTTAAAGAATGGAAAGGGCAAAAACAAATACACTACTGAGATTCTTTCCTAACTAAATAAACAAATAAATAAAATGCAAAAAGGAAAAGAAGCATATTGAGAAAGATTGTACCACATTTCACATTATTACTAACTTTTAAAAATAACGATGGTTGCACCTGCCAAAGATAATAACACTAATAATCTTAACAACTATGAAAACAAAAATTGTGATAATAATATTACTTTATAATTTGGATAAAAAAGAACAATTACTCACTCTTTAACTTTGTGAGAAAGCTTCATGTCAACTTTCTCTGAGTCTTCTTCATCACTATTGACTGGTTCAGTTTTCATTTCCTTTTTAACTTTCTCTTGCTCAGTTTTGTATTTAAATATGGACGTTAAAATTATAGACTTTGACTTATCTTCATTACACGATGCTTTAGTATTAGGATCACATGTTTTTCTTTTACCTTTTCCTTCTCTAGTTCTATTATCAAGTATATCTTTAGTGTCTACTTCTTGTTTAATATCAATTTTGGATATACTTGATGCACTGTTTTCACTGTGTTTGGGCACTTTATCAATAAAGCTAAGGGGAATTGTACAAGTGAGTCTTGCTACACCATTTTCATACTGTATTTGGGGTATGGGCACTTTTGGTTCTGCACTAACTATAGGAGACTCACAAAGCTTATTACTAACTATGGGAGAGGCACCTGGCCTTCCCTCATTTCTGCTATCTGCTGGGCTGGGCTCACTCACTGTTCTGCTTCTATCGGTTTTACTCCTTTCAATGCTGTCTTTATTACCACCACTACCTTTCCTTGTATCACAATTTTTTGTTTTTCTACTATCTGAAGGGTCTTTGTCCCTTCCCATCTTATCTTTTTTGGATAATGTGCTAAATGTTCGGTTCACCTTTCCCCCTTTGTCCCTGGTCTGGTCAAGCTTTTGAGAACTACTCTGACTATGGCCAGTGTGAGGATGAATTTCATCATCACTTTTACTCACTAAGGATTCAGAGCTCTGGGATTCACTGAGTCTTGCACTACTGGATCTCTTTGCACTATTTTTACTAGATACACTGACTGAAGTCATGGGAGATGCATGAGGGCTGGCCTGGACTGACTTCACAGGACTGGGAATAACCTTTGGGAAATCTTTGGGTGTTCTTGATGGAGTACGTTGTGAAGTTGGAGTACCTCTAGACTGCACCTTTTCAGGGGTAGTAGTCACTACATCTATAATGCTGTCATCACTGTCAGTTTGTATTTGTGATTTGCTGGTACGTTTTGATTTTACACTTTCAGATTTGGCACCAACCTGATTATCTTTCTTTAAGTCAGGATTCTTCTTTGAGTTTCTTCTACCTGTCTCACGAGATATGGGGGGAACAATGGATTTGGCAGATTTTTCTGGAATTTTTGACACACCCTTTCCAGAAATATTTGAACCATTCACGGATTGAGTTGATCCAACTTTCCAAGAAGAAAAAGACTCTTGTTCATCTTCACTATCTGAGCTGAGTTGAGGTCCATTTGATACCCTCATCCTAGATAACCCAGCTTTGGACTTTGAAATCTGCGATAATGCAGTGGCACGGGGAGTGGGGCGATGGTGACTTTCACCCTCACCAGAGCTGTCAGAGTAGTGGCCATTATTTTCAGGTTTAGACTGCACCCTCAGCTCTGCAGCTGAGCGAGATTCACGGTGGGAGGAACTTGAAGGAGCAGCAGCCTTATTAGTATAGCGTTTCCCTTTTGTTGGAGGAGCAGTAGGTGGAACAGGCAATGAACGGACATCTTCAGGCTGCTGGCCAGATATAGGTCCAGGTGCTGCAGTCTTTAGAGAGTACACAAATGTTAATGACAATTCTTTCAGAGGGAGTTAAACACTTATATCTCAATGCTACACAATTCCTCCACATATGAAAATAATCAATGATAGAAGAAGCAACTTTCCCTACTCTCTGTGTTCACAGTACTAAAAAGTATGACAACAGAAATAAAATGTAAAAGATAAATTACTGGTAAATATGGAATTGTGTTTTCCTTACCCCATGGGAAATTGGAGAGCTGGGCTTCCTTTGTGGAATAAAATTTCTAAGTTTCCATGTATTGGGAGATTTATCTTCTTGAGGCTGAAATAAAAAATATACACTAAGTAACAGTTTCCTTGTTAATCTACACACTAATCATAATTTGAATGTACATATTAGCAAATGAGGATAAAAATCCAAAACGTATATTGCCAAAAATCACTCAATGTAAAATCCAAATTAGCCATACTCTAAATGAAAGTTTTAAAAGACTAAACCAAATTTTAACATCTTTGTTCCCAAAACAGATCAGAAAATTACAAATTTCTGAATATATGCCATAAGAAGTTACACTTTCCCTTTGTGTCTGCTTCTGACAAATGCAAAATTAAATAATTTAAGTACTACTAAACCATATACTGTCTTTAAAAAAAACTGCAAATATTCTCAATATCAACTGCAAAAAGCAAACCAAACTTCTCATGCTCCATACCTTTGGAGAAGCTGAAGGGGAGTCTGGGTGTTCTTCATCAGACGTATTGTTGGAAGACACATCTGAATCATCACTTGATTCATCCGACGTGGATGACTCCTCTGATGTCTTTGGTGAAATTGGTGAGAGGGGTGGCTTTGAGTTACTGGATGAGATCACTGAAGACTGCACTTGGCCTGCATGTATCCCTCCATGTGTAACAGCCGATAGTCTTACATCTGTTACGGGTCTGTCCCGTTCCTAAACAAGTGAATATGCCAAGGTAAGAACCTCTTGGTGAAATTTTAGCCACACTTCCATTAAAACCATTAATAGTCTTTTCTCTTAAAAGGAAAATTCTTGAAATATGTAAGCCAGTCATAAACATTATTTAACAAGTGATTGTACGTAGTAAAGGCAAGTATTTTTGGACAATAACTTAATTTCAACTGACACCAGAGATGCAATATTATGGTCTGTAAATAACTGCATACAAGACAGAAATAAAGATGCTAGACTTCTGCAACGTGGGCTCTTACCTCGTCCTCCTCACTATCCTCCGAGAGTCCGAGGTCATCATCAATATTACTTCCATCACTGAAAGCACGTAATAAATTAGTAAACATGAAAAAAGTTCAACTTGTACTCTTGAGCTTAATGTTAATAGCATGAGACAAATTTTTAAAGGATGTATTTCCACTTTACTCACGGTTGTTTTGTCTGCCTTTGGCGTGACAGCTCGACTGTGTTGCCTGGAAAACAAACCATAAATAATAACATATATCACTAGGTTATGCTTCTACTATCAGATCATTCATCTAACTGAATAATGGAAGAAATATAACTGTAAGTATGAATATATATATCTCAAGCTTTGCTTATCAATACTCAGGTATACCCAATACATAATTAATTCCTATACAACAATTACCAATAAAAACTTGTTATACCTACTTAAATTACAAGAAACTATTAATTTAACAACATGGCATAACATTAGTCAACATTTAAATGATAGAACACAGTATAATTCAGTAATTCTTCATTGATGGAAATATACACTGCATATTAAGAATTTTTTTACAAAATGTAACCAATCCCCCCAAAATCATTCACCTCCCCTTCTTTTAATCACCGCCGCATTCGCTCCCGGCCCTAACAAATGATAACAACAGAAATCCTCCTCTGAAGCAGACAGTTACACCCTCGGCGGTTGGGCATGAAGGGTTGAGGTATGACTGGGCGGCGCACGGTGCGCAGGCAACTGGCTGTTGCTTCACATTCGCCTACCTGTAACCTGACTTGGGTTATGGTGGCGATGATGGTAGTGGCTGTGACCATGGCCGCTCTTGTGGTTCTGTTGGTGGTTGGTGGATGATGTGATGATGTGATGATTGGTGTGATTTGGCCGCGGAGGCGGTAGCTGCAATACCGGCGGCATGTGAGGTACACTTCTGTGGTTCTGACCACGACCTGAAGAGGCTTGCGATCCAGATACCCTGCGACGGGGCCCAAGGGGTAGCCCTCCTGGCGCCGGCAGTGGTCCCTGGTACATCCGCATCACGCCCGTCCGCTTTACTTGCCGAGTCTACGTAGCCAACTACAACACCAACACCAATACAGATAATGCGAGGCGGGGCACGAATCACTGTACATGACACACGGATAACACCACACACAGCAGTGGCAAGTCTCTCTCCCACACATTGCCAGGTAGCACTACTGCTGTACAACATGAGCACTGCACACTCGCGACAACAGCATCAACACCAGCGCCCACTGCCGTTTGCACGTCACTCGCGCACCCAGCTGAGTCCTCCCCCTCT